TTCCAGGAGTGCTCATGTTCGATGAAATGAGCGTCAGAAAAAGCGTCCACATTCGCGAGTCGGACATGGCACTGCTGGGCAAGGTGGATTTCGCCGAACACACACGACCAGGTGACCATGGCAAAGACGGCGACCACGTGCTGGTCTTTCTGTTTCGGCCTTTTCTGGGAGGGTGGTCACAAACTGTGGGCACATTTTGTGCTTCTGGTGCTGCCCCAGGATCAATCGTGGCGAAGCTCCTTTTGCAGTGCATTGTTCACCTTACAAACGCTGGTGTTGTTGTTGACGCAGTGACCTGCGACAACTCCACATCAAACCAATCAGCCTTGAGATCTCTGGGTACGTCTTTTCAAATTTTATTTAGCTGTGGTTAGTGATGTAGTAGAAAAACAAGTGTACTATTAAACTGTTTTTCTCTCAAGGTGTCAATGGGGACATGCACAAGCTTCAAACGTGTTTTGAACACCCGTGTGAGCCCTCAAAGCAAGTCCACGTTGTAATTGATCCACCGCACATATTTAAGTGCATCAGAAACAACTTGCTCAAAGTGGGCAAGTTTTTGGTAAGTAAAAAAAAGTTGCACGTGAATGCCTTGACCTGTGCATAAACTATTCAGTTTAAAAAAAAAATTTGTCACTTGTCCTTATGTTGCAGCTCCCTCAAGGACAGGAGGTGTTCCACTGTCACTACAAGGACTTACTGGACTATGAAGAAGAACATGCTGGACTCCGGGCTGTACCGAAGTTAACGAAAGCCCATATTTTCCCCAATGCGTTCCAAAAGATGAGCGTGAAGTTGGCTGTCCAGGCAAGTTTTATACAGCTGACGTGCCCAAGCTGTCTACATGCTTTTTTTGTGAATACATGGGATCTTGTACGGTCTTTGCTAATGTTGTGCGGAGACGTAGAGCTCAATCCCGGACCTAGTACCGCGGAACTTCTCAAACAATTACTTGATGGTCAGAAACTTATACAAGAAAGGCTAAACGCCATTGAATCCAAGCTGCAAAAAGTTGACAAAATCGAAAAAAACTGTGCAGTGCCTTGAAAAAAGGCTTGTGGATTTAGAAGACCGAAGCAGACGCAACAACCTTGTGGTATTTGGTATTCCGGAAAGCGAGAATGAATCAACCGTTGTCCTAAGCGAGAAGGTCGTTACTGAGCTTTTTAAAGATACTTTGGGAGTAGAAGTACACTCAGTAGAAAGATTACACAGAATGGGGCGTCGCCAACCAAATAAACCTCGCCCTGTGATACTGAAATTGTTCGACCATCGTGAAAAAATAACCGTTCTACAAAACTGTTTTAAGCTAAAAGGAAAGCGCATGTCAGTGTCTGAAGACTTCTCCGCTGCCACTAGGCAAATAAGAAAACAGCTCTGGGATAGCACGGCTGACCTACGCAAATCGGGAAGGAAAGTCAGACTCGTGCACGATAAAATTAGAATTGATGATGAGCTATTTGAATGGGACGACGAACAAATGACTAGAGTATCAGTTTCAAAACGCCGATCTAGGGCAAGGCAAAAAGATGCGTGACCACACAGTCACACAGAAAGTTTTACTTGCCTAAACATTAATGCTCGCAGCATCGTAAATAAAACAACCGATTTGGAAAGCATAGTCATCGCGCACAATCCAGAAATTATAGTAATCACAGAAACATGGCTTAACAGCGACATTGGTGATTACGAAATTACACCCTCGGGTTACTGCATCCTTCGAAACGATAGAGATACGCGTGGTGGCGGAGTTGCGATTATATTCAAGGACTCGCTGGAGTTGTTGAGACTGCCCGACATCATAGGAATCGAATGTGTTGTCGTGAAGGTTATCTTGAAAGAATGTGCATTGATAATTGGCGGTTTCTATAGGCCCCCTAGTTCAGACATATCTTTCTACGAAAGGCTTAATAACTTTTTATTGCCTTATAGAAATCACTCCAGTAATCTAATGCTTGTTGGAGACTTTAACGTTCCCCACGTTGCCTGGGACAATGACTTTCCCTATGCGCTTTCAAATGAGGCTGAACATATTCTTGATCTTGTGTTGTTTCATGATTTAACACAACTTGTTCATGCACCTACTCGAGTCCAAGGTACCAAACAATCAGTCTTGGATCTATTCTTGGTCAACCACAGGGTATTACAGCGAAATCCAACTATCCGAATCTTAGAGGGTATATCGGACCACAAAATTGTATGCCTGGATATGCAATTAAGCTGTATCCACAAGGTGACAAAGCGAGAAACTTTTGTTCCTGTGTTTGCACGTGCAAGTGATGTTGACGTACTTGACGTACTAGACAGCTCTTTCGCACACTTTGTATCCCTCTACGAGTCGGATAAGCACTCGGTTAATCACCTGTGGAACTTTTTCAAAAACCTTGTGACAAAGTGCATTGACGAATTTGTACCACGTAAGCGTAAAATAATACGGAACACTAACCCCTGGATAACCAAAGAGATAGTACGCTTGGGACGAAGACTTAAAAAAGTAAAACAAAAACTGAAACGGCGCAACGAAGCGTCCACAAGCAACTTGGTTTGCGCACTGAGATTGCAGCTTAAAAACTGTATTGCTGACGCTAAAGCTCATTATCAAAACGTGCAACTAAAAAAGTTTATTTCTTCGTCCCCGGCGAAATTTTGGAGGTATCTGTCACCAAATAAAAAATCGGCACCTACTCTTGTCTTAGACGGCAATGCGGTGACTAACAGCTCAGAAACAGCGCGCATACTCAATGAATACTTCTGTTCAGTTTTCACTGATGATAATGGCACGGAACCTGAATTTCTTTTGTTTGGTGATTTGCCACCGATTGACAATATAGAAATAGATGAAGAGGGCGTATTTTCCCTTCTGCTCAAGTTAGATGATAAGAAATCTAGTGGGATCGACAACATACCTAATGCTTTTCTGGTGCGCTACGCAGAATGGTGTTCTAAGTACCTAAACCTAATCTTTCGGAAATCTCTTTCTCGAGCAGAACTTCCTCATGACTGGCGTTACGCCAAAATAACTCCCATACCAAAAAAGGCAAACCAGTACATACCTTCCGCGTACAGACCAATATCGTTGTTATGCGCATGTGTTAAAGTTCTGGAACACATAATATTCAAGCACCTTTCCGCGTTTATCGAAAGCAACAACATAATAGACAGTCGCCAGCATGGCTTCCGACGCGGCTTATCGACGGTTACGCAGCTACTCGAAATGGTACATGACCTTGCCTCTGGTCTGGACAAACAAAGCCAAATTGATATATTATTTCTAGACTTTGAGAAAGCGTTTGACCGCGTGTCACACCGTAAGCTTCTAATCAAATTCAAGGCGATTCTGAAAAATGACTCTTTATTAGCCTGGATCGAAGCATACTTGAGCTGCAGGTACCAGTGCGTCACAGTTGGTGGAACCAACTCGCCATCCGCGCCAGTTCAATCCGGCATACCTCAGGGATCCGTCCTGGGGCCTCTTTTCTTTTTGGTTTTTATAAATGACATTGTCCGCGATATACCAGTTAAGATAAGGCTTTTCGCAGATGACTGCGTGCTTTATCAAGAAGTGAATGATCCTAGCGACCAGCTTCTTTTAAACGATTCTTTATCTAAAATTCAAGACTGGTGTACGAAATGGCAAATGAACATAAACCCTAAAAAAACTGTTGCGATGACCATAACCCTCAAAAAAGATCCTTTAAAATTCCGATACAACCTAGGCAATCACTCCTTATCATTCGTTTCGCAATATACGTACCTTGGCCTTGTAATCACATCTGATTTAAGGTGGAACGATCACATAGCTTACATTGAAAAAAAGGCTTTGAGAAAACTAGGTTATTTACGAAGGACGCTAGCTAAAGCAACCCGCGAGACTAAGCTACTCGCATATAAACGTACGTAATACCATTACTTGAATACGCGTCGCCTGTATGGGACCCCCACACACAAGCTAACATTGATAACTTGAATCAATACAGCGAAAATCTGTACGGTTCGTGTTTAATGCCTACCGACACGACACATCTCCATCAGCTCTTTTGGAAAGCGCTAAGCTGAAAACTTTGCAATGGAGACGTTACCATGAAAGAATGAAGTTGTTCTACCTCATATATAATGACAAGCTAGCAATTCGGAAAACCAATTACATTAAACCAATTTTGCGCCGCGAAACGCGCTCCTCCCACCCTAAAAGAATTGATGAGCTTCTCTGTCATACTAACATATATCGGTACTCCTTTTTTCCCCGCGCAATCAACGAGTGGAACAAATTGCCACCAGAGGCTCTGGAAAGTGTCGATCTGAAATCATTTCTCCGTGCGTTACCTGCTCCATCTTTCTGATAGCTACACTCCCATTTCCTTTACAGTGCCTTTGTTCTTGTGCCCATTTTAGACAAAATATTTGCCTTACAATTTGCCACGCTTGTAACTAACATGCCCGGATGTACTTTTTGAATTGTTGCTGACTATTCTTGTACTTGAACTTTTTTTTTTTTTTTTTTTTTTTTTTTTTTTTTCACACAGCAAAACCTGCTGAGCACTACTTTCGTGCAGTTTTCAGTATAGCCTTGTATGGCACGGCAATTGTGGACTGCATTTCCAGTTTCCTTTCTATGTGAATCAACGCGTTCCTTTTTTTGTACCACTGTATAATCTGTTCAATATTTTTTTGTACTTCCTGCATTTGTGTTCATTGTACCGCCCACCCCTGCCCAAAGTCTGGCATTCAGACTGGCAGTATTCTCCTAAATAAATAAATAAAATAAATAAGTCATGCACGCAGCTATGTTCAGTGCAAAGTGTATTTCAAAAACATCTGCTCACACGTTTTGGGAAGTAAACTTAAAATCCTTTTTTTCCACACATTTTACAGCTGTTCAGTGAGAGTACTGCTTCGGCCATGGAGTTTTATAGCGAGCAGGAAGACTGCAAGAAGCTCCATGGGTCGGCTGCAACATCGCAATTCACAAGAACATTGAACAAGCTGTTCGACTGCCTGAACTCTCGGGGGCCAGACCATGTTCGATTCAACGAAGCACAACACATTGCTGTGAGATTATTACATGTGTTATGAAGTGTTTTTCGTGTACTATAGATGAAGCATAATTTTATTCCAGGTGTTGAAGGACAGCATTGCATGGCTGGACAACTGGGAGAAATACATCAAGACATTACCGACCCAGAGGCAAGTCTGCTTTCTGAGTAAGCAGACATGTGGAGCCCTCAGACTGACACTGCATAGCTCAGTTGCACTCATCAAGAGCTTGCTGTTGTCTGGGTTTCGTTACGTTCTCGTTGGGAACTTCGGACAAGATCCTCTAGAGGTAAACATGATGACTTTTATGTGTATAAATGTGCTATGAATTTCTCATTGTTGCGATAAATTGATTTTTTCTTTCTAGAGGTTTTTCGGCATCGTCAGGCATGTTGCTGGTGATGGAGGGCAGCCGACTGTGCAACATTTTTTGTTCATCTATCGGATGCTCTATGTAAACAACCTAGTTCGGCCGCCAAAACGGGCCTCGGTCGAGGGAGATGGACCCCAGCTGTTGCTCAAGCTCCAGGGCCTCTTTGACAAGGGAAAACCTGCCTCCAGTCAGGTAACGTGCCCCTTGCTTTTATTTATTAGCTCTAGTTTCTTTTTTTCAGGAGCAGTTTCACTACACAAATGACCAAATAACCAAATGAAACATAATGTGTTTTTGCATTTACGAATCTCAACTTATACATTGAAAGATTTGAAACTTGGAATGTATTTTGCAGATTGACATGTTGGCGGTCCTCTTTGATGACGTTCTTGAGGAGCCGGGAGAGGCAGTGAACAATGCATCCGTGCCTGACGTTACGCTCTCCACCAAAGAGTGCATTCTTGATTATCTTGCCGGTTACGTGGTAAAGAAGTTTTCAACGATAAGCTGCACTGACTGCGTGGGAACACTCAAGAGCCAGACACGAGAGCCAACTGACCTAATCCAGAAGAAGTCAAGAGGATTCCTGCAAGTGCCCTCATCCCAGCTTCTCAGCCTGTTGCACATTATGGAAGGACATGTTGAAGAACTGACTGTGGACACAGTTGCATGTGCCGATGTGTATGCGAACATTGTTGACCAAGTTTTGCTCGACAGCCGCATTGCTTCTGCTGGTGTGGGCTGTAGGTTGCACTATGTGGGTACCACAGCAGAGGTTGTTCATTTTTTCTTGAGGTGCCGCCTGCACTTTTACACCAGGGAAAAAAACAAGCTGACACGAGCGACGCGGCGAGCAAACTGCCCAGCAAATGGTGGCAACAAGCCCCATGGGTAGCAGATGTTCTGTTTGTCATGCTATGTAAAGCCCAACTGTTGTGTTTTGTGTTTGCTAGTGACAAAAAACACTTGCACATTTGTGTTCCTAGTTGCTTGTGTGACGTTGTTTATTTCCTTTATCCGCCATGCTATTGCCGTAAACTTGTATGAATAAACACTTGCACCACAGCCGCGGCGCGTTTTCTAGTCACTTGCATGCGCTTGGCAGCTGCCTGCGACGATCAGCAAGTGGCCAGTCAGGTTACCGTCATCTGTGTGGCGGAACCAAAATCCACGGCGGCGACATTTTGATTATCCAATCAGGTATTTTGAATTTGCAAAGCGGAGCATGGCTAGCTTTGCCTGTATTTCTTTTTTAATTTTTTTTAGTGTCCCCGCCGCGGTGGCTCAGGGGCTAGGGCGCTGTGCTGATGATGATGAGCCCAAGGACGCGGGTTCCCAGCCGCTTTTCTGATGGAGGCGAAAAGAGAAAATGCCTGTGTTTTAGAGATTCCCGCGCATGTTAAAAATACCCGGGTGGTTAAAATTATTCCGGAGAGCTACACCAGAGTCCTTCAATGCTTGAAGGACTCTGGCTACACTACGGCGCGCGCCCGATTGCCTGCATAGCGTCAGCGCGTTAAACCTCATAACCAAGTAATCAATTAACTTGTCGTTTTGGTGGGACGAGTGTGTCAGACACTGACCATACGAGTTTTTCTGTTGACACCCTATACCTATGTTGACAGCCGGGAAAGTCGCTCAAGTGTGTAGCATTTACTCCTACGCGCGCTCATTATGCTGCTTCCATTTCGTGAGCGTTTTTCTTCATCATGTTGATGCTCACTTTCCAAACCTAGGTTATTTTTGTACATTATTAGCGCGCTATAAAATCGCGCAGACACAGCGCTAACCCAACGTGCTGTACGTTTGCACACCTATTTGCTAAGCGCAGCATGTCGCCCAGGGCTGTATATACCGATTTAAATCTGGTGCTAGTTAACCCGAATGCAGGAAACTGCAAAGACTACTCAAAAATCGAAAACGCCAGATGTCCTCCTTCTCAAAGCGAGAACGTAGCAGCCGTGACTACCGCAACGAACGAACGCTGCAACATATACGACTCAGTAACACGCGTGGCCTTGCCTCTATTTCACAGCTAAGCTAAGCGTCAACTGAATCAAAAACACGCACACTTCGCTCGCGTCGCTCGCGTTTTTACAGGTCGCGTTTTTACAGGTGGAAATGAAGAGCAGATGAAATTAGGCGCATTGCCGACGAAGAAACAGCCGGCCCGCAAGCGTCGCCGGCCGCCGGCGAAGCCTTCACGCTAACAGGGGCGATCCTAGCGGCAGCTTTTGTCCCTGAATGAAACTTCGGCCGGAGTTTCGTGACCAGAAAAGCATTGAAGGACTCTGCCTCTAGGAACCGGTTACTCAAGGGGAAGGGGGTATGTAAGATTAGGAAGCGCGCCTCAGCGCCATGAGAAAGGAGAGAGGGAGAATATAAAGAAGGCACAAAAGAAAAAAAAAAGGGCGAGACGTTCGCGGAGCACTCCGCTGTCGGTGGTAGCCAAGCGGCGTACGTGCAGCAAACTCTCCTCCGGAAACAGCGCGTGCCGTCTGCTTTGCGCGCGTTGCTGGAGGGCGCGTGGCGGGAGTTTTGAACTGCTAAATACAGTTCTCGCGTTGGCGCCGTCTCAAATTCGCGTTGTGCGCTGTCTAAACGTCGCCTCAAAATTTTACTTCCTAACAAAACTTGTTCGTTATATCCCATAACAGGCAAATTTTGCCTCGTTGAAACGAGGTTTTGAATACATTGGTTTGTATGGGGACTTTCAAGGGGAATTAGGATTTGCTCGTTATATCCATTATTTCGTTATAGCCCGTCTCGTTATAACGAGGTTTAACTGTATCTGTCTTCAATATATTGAGGTTTGACTGTACATGTTGTTTGAGTGTGTAGATTGTGCACAAAAGACTGTAATGTGACACAAGGACTGGGTTTCTATGTTTTTGCAGAGATTTTAAAGCTTTTACGACGCTCAAGGTATTCGTGTATATAACTGCGCATGTAATTTTGATTCCTGAATGTGCTTAACAGCCATCAGTATCGCATAAGTTTCTGCAGTAAAGATGCTTGAATTAGGGTACAGAACACCAGAATCACAAAAAGATGGACCAACGGCGGCATAGGACACACCAATAAAAGACTTTGAAGCATCTGTAAAATATTCAGGACAAGAGTATTTCAGCTGCAATTAGGGAAAGTATGCACATATAAGTGGAAGAGGAGCGTGTTTGGTTATTTGAATGAAGGATAAATCACAGTCAATGAGCTGCCACTGCCGCGGCGGCAGATATGTTGCGGGAGCCATTAGACAGTTTTCAAAAAGCCGTACCCCGGTTTCTTCAGTTAGACCCCTCACGCAAAGTGAGAAGGGTCGTCTCACCGAGAGACGGTTGTCAAAAAGAACAGAACTGGACAAATAATTAATTGTGGTGTGTGTGGGGTGTTCCTTATCAGAGTTTACTTTCAAATAATACCAAAAGGACATATAGGTTCTCTGAAAGTGGAGCGACCACTCATTGGACTCTACATAGAGACTTTCAACAGGGCTGGTGCGAAAAGCACCCGTAGAAAGGCGTATGCCAAGATTATGTACAGGATCCAGAATCTTCAATGCGCTTGGTGTAGCAGACTGGTAGACTATGGCTCCGTAGTCTAGGCGTGTGCGTATAAAGCTTTTATATATATTCCTCAGGCACTTCCTGTCACTTCCCCATGTTGTGCGTGACAGCACTTTGAGGATGTTCATTGTTTTCAGGCACTTGTTTTTTATGGACTTGATGTGCATTATAAATGTGAGCTTCGAGCCCAAGATTAGACCTAGAAATTTATGCTCAGCCTCTACAGGTATTCGTTGCCCAAGAAGCTCAATTTCAGGATTTAGGTGGAGGCCTCTATTCCTAGAAAAAAGAACACAGGTGCTTTTTGAGGGTTTACCCTGAACCTGCTTTTATCTGCCCATTTAGCCACCTTGTTCAATCCAAGCTGGACCTGCCGCTCACAAGTTTCTAAATTGCAAGATTTAAATCCTATCTGAATGTCATCCACATATGTGCAATAGAACATATTTCGTGGCATGCAAAGGTACAGTGAGTTCATTTCAATGATGAAAAGCGTGCAGCTAAGTACGCCACCTTGTGGTACCCCATTTTCCTGTATAAATGATCGTGACAGGGCATTTCCAACCCGAACCTGGAACTTGTGGTTAGTTAGATAGCTTTCTATTACATTTAACATCTGACCTTGTATACCTAAGTGCGACAGGTCTCTAAGTATTCCGAACCGCCACCTGGTGTCATAAGCTTTTTTCATATCTAGGAATACCGAGAGGGAAAATTGTCTGTGGACAAATGCGTCGCACATCTGCGACTCTATGCGGATTAGATGGTCGGTTGTGGATCAGCCTTCTCGAAATCCGCACTGGTTTAAGTCTAGTAAATTGTTTTTTTCGAGGAAATGTATTAAACGACAGTTTATCATTTTTTTGAAGACTTTAAATAGGCAACTTGTTAGTGTGATGGGTCTATAATTAAACACACTGGATCGATCCTTTCGCGGTTTAAAGATTGAGATTATAATGGCCTCTTTCCACGCATTCAGATTCTTGGCGGAAGTCTATACATCGTTGTAGATATGAAGGAGGGTGTTCTGTGTGTCATGTGGCAAGTTCTTCAGCATTTGGTACATAATACGATCAGAACCTGGTACAGATTCATTGCAGCAGTAGAGTGCTCTTTGGAGCTCAGCCATGTTGAATGGATCATTGAATGCCTCATTTTTGGTGCATTTTCTATCTAATTTCTTGCTTTATATAGTTACTTTGTGACGTTGAAACGTGTTGGAGTAGTGCACAGAGCTAGAAATACATTGAAAATGTGCACCGAGAAAGTTCGCTTAGTCTTCAAGGCTGTTGCCATCAGTGTTTACTAAAGGAAGAGAGTGTGTTGTTTGGCCTCGTATCCTATTTACCTTGTTCCAGGCCTTAGCCTCATCTGTATAAGAATCAATGCCCGATAAAAAATTGTCCCAGCTGTCCCTTCTTGCCTGTCGGCATATTCGTCGACCTTGGGACTTAATATGTTTAAAGTTAATAACATCCTTAGCAGTGGGGAGTCGTGCAGTAGTCCCCACGCTTTATTTTGCTTTTTCCGAGCTTTCCGACAATCTTCATTCCACCACGGCACACGACATTTGGCAGCAATACCACTTGACTGAGGAATACATTTTGAAGCAGCGTCAATAATAAAAGCAGTAAAAAACTGAAGAGCAGCATTAATTTCTAAAAATGACATCTGATCCCACGAGATACTCGTAAGAGTTCTAAACTGCTCCCAATCTGCTGCTTCAATTTTCCACTAGGGAGCAAACGGTGTAGACTCATTTTTTATTCCTGTACTTAAGAGTATGGGGAAGTGGTCGCTCCCGTAGGGGTCTTTTATAACGTCCCAGTTAAAGTCGGGTAAAAGGGTGGGTGAAGCAATGCTGAGATCTATTGATGAATAACTTCTGTTAGCAAGGCTGAAAAATGGTGGCTCCTTCTTATTGAGCAGACATGCATCAGCAGACATCAGGAACTGCTTGATCATACGGCCTCGGGCATCAGAGCGAGGATCTCCCCACAGGCTGCTGTGTGCATTGAAATCGCCAAGGACTCTGGCAATGTGGCTCTGGCAACTCATCAATAAATGACTGAAATTCATACTTGTTTAGCTGGTAGTGGGGTGGGATGTAAAGTGAACAGATGGTTATGAGCTTCTTGAAGAGGACGGCTCGGACAGCTACTGCCTCCAATGGCGTTTGCCGCTGCAGAGCCTGACAAGGTACGGTTTTGTCTATTATGATAGCAACGCCGCCAGAGGACGCGAGAACATTTTGGCGGTCTTTGCGGAAGATGACATATTGTCAGAGAAAGTTAGTGTGTGTTGGTTTTAAGAGCGTTTCCTGTACACACAGCACTTTTGGTGTGTGTTTGTGAAGAAGTTCTTGGACGTCATCAAGGTTCCTAAAAAGGCCCCTGACGTTTCATTGCATAATTTTAGTACTCATATCGAAAACAAACTAGTGCAGAGTGTGCAAAAGAAAGGCATTTACTCAGGGCTCTTTCCAGGCCCCGTAACGCGCAA